AAGAAGAAGAAGAAGAAGATTCTGGTCAGCAATAGAAAAACCCCTGGCGCCAGGTTGCGACGGCGTCAGAAATATTTTTACCTCCCACCTGCATTTTCAAATAATTCTCTTTGAACATGTGTGCAAAAGAAAAGGAAAAAACAGATGCTGGCGTCTGGGAAACAAGGGCTGGCTCCTGTATTATGTTTAGTTTTGTCTACGGCTGACTTTGGTTAAGAACAGGGTTGGCTCGCTTGTTGGTCGATGGATAGATGGGTGTTTCCCCCCCCCCCCCTTTTCATCCCTGGCAGGTTGCTTGATTAGTCGACATAAGCGTTTATTATTGGCTGGTTAGTTGGTAAGTTTGTTGATTGGCTGGCTGGTTAAGAGGTTGGTTGGCTGGTTGGTTGGGTTGTTAGCCAGCTGAAAGACGATTAGTTGGTTGGCTAGCTAGCTGATTGGTTTATTTGTAGAAAGGTGAGTTTTCCCCGTTTGTGTGTTGGTAGGTAGATAGATTGGTCCCCCCCCCCCCCGGGTTGGTTGGTTGGTTATCTGGCTGGCTGTTTGATTGGTTGACTGGTTAACTGATTGGTTGGCTGGTTAACTGATTGTTTGATTGGTTGGCTAGTTAACTGATTGTTTGGTTGATTGGCTGGCTGGGCTACTGTTTGATTAGTTGGCTGCTTAACTGATTGTTTGATTTTTTGGCTGCCTAAATTGACTGTTTGATAAGCTGGGTAGATGAATTTGCTGACTGTTTGATTTGTTGGCTGGTTAACTGATTATTTGCTTGGTTGTTTGGTTGGCTGACTGGTTGTTTGGTTGGCTGACTGGTTGTTTAGTTGGCTGACTGGTTGTTTTGTTGGTTCGCTGGCTGGAGCCGGTAGTGGTCTAAATGACCCTGCTTCATGCGAATTGATGTTGACCACAGCAAACTTCAGAGCATGTGTTATAAGATTTGCCAGTCTTTGCCAGTCAGAGAAAAAAAAAGAGAGAGAGAGAGAGAGAGAGGGAGAGAGAGACTCACAGAAGTGAACCTACAATAAAAACTACGCAGAGGTTTGAACTTTTGAACAACCTTACCGGGGATTGAACCCGGAACCTCTAACTCTCGAGGCGGACACCGTGCATCGAGACCACTCAGCCTCCGGCATTAGAAAAGACCTTAAGTGTCCCGCGGTATCCCTGACCGCTGCTGAAATGAAGGCATCTTGAGCACTGAAGAAGAAGAAAAAAAAAAGGACAGGAGAACCCTTTTTCAATCGCTCTCTAGTATATTTTAACTGAAATCAAAACACACAGGAATCATACCGTGTGTTTCCATCTTTCAAATGTTAATGTCCGTGCTTTTTTATTTTAGTTTTGTATGCTCTTCAGCTACCTCCATGTGTTTCAGTAATTCCATTTTTTTGTCACCCGACATTTTTCATAACTGTCTAAGACGTCTTGCAGATGTCAACGGAAGCGTTACATTCTTGTGTTTACCCCAGAGGTGTCCGGGTTTTCTCCTTCTGGAAGCCAAATTGAAAACCGCAAGACAGAATGCAGCTTCCCCCTGTCAACACATTCCAACCTGGCATAGTTAGTGCTTTCAGTGGCACTTTTCATTGCTACAGATGGGTTCTGTATACTGTTATATACACTAGCAACTGACAAGGGGCAAGAGCGGAGCGGGGAGGATAGTTCCCTGGAGGAAACCTTCTGTGGTTTTACTTGTGAAATCCCTCTGTGGTTTTACTTGTGAAATCCCCGAGTTTCTGAGGAAGTACGGACACATTTGAAAATAAAAAAATTGCTATTTAAATTATGTTTCACGTCAAGAGGATGGACTTCAGGGCGCTAGCTGTTATCACAAATGACTCGCTGTCTGTCTGTCTGTCTGTCTGTCTGTCTGTCTGTCTGTCTGTCTGTCTGTCTGTCTGTCTGTCTGTCTGTCTGTCTGTCTGTCTGTCTGTCTGTCTCTGTCTGTCTGTCTGTCTGTAGATCAAATAACAGTCTGCCAGGTGTGTCGCACAAAGCAAAAACTTGGTTCATCTACTAAAAACAGCGCTCGTGAACCGAGGGAAACAATCAATGCAACGAACCCACGACCTTCGGAACCATAGGAGGCTTAATCATCTTGTCACTGAACACCCCCCCCCCCCCACCAACCCCCCTCGCCCTATACAAGATAACCTGTTCACTTCCGTTAGTGACGTAACGTCCAGATGTTCGCAGATCGCCGTGGGGTCATGATTTGACACTCCTCTAATTGGTGATGATACCAGCGGGAAAATGTTTGATGTTGTCAGTCGACGGCTCGACGGGTAAAACCAGGCTAGGTCCCAGTTGTTTACCGGCCGTGGTCTGAAGAAATCCGGTCTCTGGTCTGTCTGTCTGTCCAGGTGTTAGGTGCGCGCTTGAGCCAGTATCTTCAATGTGGCAGTTCTGTGTTAACGCGGTAGGCAGGCATCTATGGATATGGGTGGCGGGGGTGATTTAACGACTGCCCGTCTGTTCGTACGCCTGTCTGTCTATCTAATCTTATTATAATCGTATCTATCTATCTATCTATCTATCTATCTATCTATCTATCTATCTATCTATCTATCTATCTATCTATCTATCTATCTATCTATCTATCTATCTATCTGTCTGTCTGTCTGTCTGTCTGTCTGTCTGTCTGTCTGTCTGTCTGTCTGTCTGTCTGTCTGTCTGTCGGTCGGTCGGTCGGTCGGTCGGTCGGTCGGTCGGTCGGTCGGTCGGTCGGTCGGTCGGTCGGTCGGTCGGTCGGTCGGTCGGTCGGTCGGTCGGTCGGTCGGTCGGTCGGTCGGTCGGTCGGTCTGTCTGTCTGTCTGTCTGTCTGTCTGTCTGTCTGTCTGTCTGTCTGACTGGGGGGTATTGCCATATACTCAAGGCGGGGGGAGGCTGGATTGTCTTGCCCCGTACTCAAAAGTGACGTGGGGGCCGTATAAAATTCTCATTTAAGTGGGGGGGGGGGGGGGGGTCTTACGCGACACTCAAAGTCGGCGTGGTGCCATATATCCAAAAAAAAAAAGGAGGGGCGGGGAGGGGTGTCCTGAAAAAAAGGTTTAAGACCACTACTCCAGAACCGTATCCTAACTGCCAAGATAACATGACAGTGACATCTTGAAACCTTCCACCCGTAAAATTATACACGTGCTAACTCATATTATATTACCCGAGCTCCTTCAAACCTGTTTTTATATTAACAATCCCGTATTTACTCAGATCTGTAAGTGAACGGAAGATTCTAGTTTTATCTGTACACACCTTCAGAATTCGCCGATCTCACGTTTCACTTATCATTTAAGCGTAAAGAAAACGAAAACTAGTGTAAGCTTCTTTAGTATTGTTATCTTTCTTTTCTCTTTAATGTAAAAACGTGTTTGTAAAAGACGTTTTCACGCCCTGCTTGGGGATATTTCAACACATTATGAATGGTTTCTTTCAGCCAGCTGTTGAAATGGCGGGGCCGGGTTTTTTCTACAGGTCATTGCACAAGTTGTGTATTATTTATGTTTCAGGTTGGATACAGGAAATTAGCGGGTGTTGAAAGGTGGCTTTCTGATTTTTATTGCACAGTCTGGTGGCTTTAGGAGAGAGAATATTGCGGCTTGAGAAGAGAGAACTGGATGGCTTGTGGAGAGAGAATCAGGTGGCTTGTGGAGGGAGAATCGAGTGGCTTTTGGGGAGAGAATCGAGTGGCTTGTGGAGAGAGGTTTGTTGCTGTGAAACATGGGTCAACTGGTGGCTTCAGGAGAAAGAACATGGTGGCTTGAGTAGAGCGAATTGGGTGGCTTGTGGAGAGAATCGGGTGGCTTGTGGAGAGAGAATCGGGTGGCTTGTGGAGAGAGATTAGTTGCTGTTGAATATGGGTCGGCTGGTGAATCTGAATGGAAGTTATGTGTGGGTATGACCGGCTGAAGGTGTGTGTGTGTGTGAGTGTGTGTGTGTGTGTGTGTGTGTGGCTGGAATGGGGATGGGGTGGGGATCTCGGGGTGGGGGTCTCGGGGTGGGGGTACGTTAACTTGTTTAATACTTCAAACCACTACTGGCTCTAGAAAAATCTGAAGGAGGCCGCGGTTTAAACGTTAAGAAATTTGAGTTGAGTTGAGCTAGGAATCAGAGTCATAGCTCTCGGGACATAAGCGTCCTAGCCCTATCTTCAGCAGCCAGCGCAGAGTTGTTTCCGATGATAGGAGTAATAAACGCCTCACTTATGCTGCAAAGCGTTGCAGAAGAGTTCATATAGTTTCATGTCTTTTTCTAGTTGCGTAGGCTATGTTAATTTCATGCTGCTTTCCTGCAGTATTTCTTTTACTTCCTCCACCCAGGTCTACACGGGAGCTTCCTTTGAAGTCGGAGTTAATCTGTCTCAATGGCAAGGAACCAACAGTCTGCATGCAAATGAGTCAGACCTGTGAAACGGATATGCACGCAATAATCAGTTTGTGGAACAGGGCTAAAGCCCAGAAGTGGACGAACAACCAGAACTTTCCGCCGAAGTTTAAAGAGGGTGAATGCGAAGAAGAAGAAGAAGAAGCAGAAGAAGAAGAGGCGGAGTAGGAAGAAGAAGAAAGAAGGAAGAAGAATACAGGTTTTTCAATCCTGTCCCTACAGCTGTTCTTAGTTCTTCATTGATGACACTGTCCCTTCTTATTTTTTTTTAGCAGCTAATCGACAGTGGTACCGAGAGCTGACCGCTGAGGAGCAATGGCAAACTACTAAATGTAAATTTACCTAGAAAACCTAGAATAGCCACACACAAAAACAATTGCTGGGCTTGGTTCTGCAACGTCCTGTAAAGGAGATGCAAGTAATTTTTCAGTCTTCTAGTCTACTACAACACCATAAACCGCCGTCAGTGTCAGATCCCCCGTGTTGACCGCCGTCAGTGTCAGATCCCCCGTGTTGACCGCCGTCAGTGTCAGATCCCCCGTTTTGACCGCCGTCAGTGTCAGATCCCCCGTGCTGCTCTAGCAAGAGGTAATAATTGCTGATTGTTTCTGTTGTTTCAGAGGAGTGCGCCAACGCCCTGGGCATGCACTCGTATGACATTCCAGACAAGGCCATCACCGCAAGCTCGTCCTACGACAAAACTTCTGTTGGTCCTGAAAACGCTAGGTAAGTGGTTTGTGTCCTTTTCTTCTTCTTCTTTTTCTTCTTCTTCTTCTTCTTCTTCTTCTTCTTCTTCTTCTTCTTCTTCTTCTTCTTCTTCTTCTTATTCTTCTTCTTCGTCGTCATCATCTTCTTCGTCTTGCTTTAGCTTTACCGCTCTCTCTCCTTTTTCCCCCTTCTTATCTCCAGATATGATATATCTTTTTAGCCAGGGTGTCTACAGTTGAACTGTAAGCTAATCTTCACCCTCTCTCGAATCCCCAAAACAATGAAACAAAACATAGGTTGAGAACAGACTTCTTCCCTGTCACAAAGTGTTTTTGTACTTCTGCGTTAACTGGCTGTGAAGTTTACATCGGCGCCGGAAACTGGGTTTTGGCTCAGGCATCTTGAGCCCCCCCCCCCCCCCCCCCCCCTCCTCTCCCGACCCCCTTACAACAAAACAAATGTAAGAGTATAGACGAGCTGAGTTTTCCTACCTCAGACAGTTTTGCGAGGGGCTAAGTGGCCTCCAAGCGGCGTCCGTGGCTTAGGCGTTGCGTGTCGGACTCGTAATTCCAACGTACTGCGATCGAAACCTACTGCTGGCTGCGTGGATTCTTATCATGGTATGAGGCGTCACAGGTCAACCCAGCCTAAAATTGGGTACCAGGATGTATGTACTGGGGAGGTAAAGACGGCCGGCGTTATTCTTACCACATTACCCCCCTAGTGCCAGTTGGTCTGTAAAAAAAAACGGACGCTCTTCCTATATGCCCGATATGTCTTGAGGCGGGAAAAGGGATCTTTGCTTTCCTTTTTATTTTAAAGTGGCCACAGGGGGCTGCCGTCATATAGCAGCTAGAACCAGTGGTTCTCAACCTTCCTAATGCGCGACCCTTTCAATACAGTTCCTCGTGTTGTGGTGACCCTTTTGTACAAGTTCCTTATGTTGTGGCGATTCCCCAACCATACAATTATTTTCGTTGCTACTTAATAACTTCAGTGTATATTTGTTTTGCGATTGTCTTTGGCGACCCATGTGAAAGGATCTTTCGACCCCCCCCCCCCCCCCCCAAAAAAAAAAAGGATGGCGACCTATATGTTGAGAACCGCTATGCTAGACGCTGCCCTCGGGCCCGAAGGTTCACAGAAATAAACAGAAGGGGAACCGTTGAAGCCGTTAGACATTATATATAAATAAAGTAACAGACAATGTATTGATAGGCTCTCGTGAAAGAAGTAGAAAGATAGAACAAACTAGACAATATAACAGTCGAAATCTATAGTTACTGTGCTGTGAATCGAACCTGTCACCTCTAGATGGCATGTGCGCCTCGCTATGGAAACAAGTGCACTAACAACATGGTCTACTAGGCATCCCCCAAGGTTTAGACCAAGACTGGCCGTGGTTCAGACAATACTGTTTCTCTGGATAAAACCTTGGTTCAGATCTGTGTCAAGCCGGATTATTTCTTCAGCAAATGACCTTTGCTCTCTGATGTTTTTTTTAAAAAGCATACATCTATCATCATCATCATCCTTCGCGTGCCGTTAGAAGACGCCACATAGATCTCGCATTCGATCCCTCGCACTCCGCTCTATTGCATGTAGCTCTCTCCATTTATGATATTGTGTTCAGCCCAGCGTTTTTTTTTTTTTTTTGTAGCCTCCCGGCTAAATGGGATTCTTCCTTCGAAGTCGGAGTACATCTGTCTGAAAAGCACGGAACCAACAGTCTGCATGCAAATTAGTCAAACCTGCTCCACATCCCTCTCCTCTTTTGATATATGCCTTGTATGTTATATAGCATCATAAGACATTTTCTCCAGGTGGGTAGACCATTTGATTTGCTGTCTTTGTATATAATTTAGAATTTGTTCTTTACCGACTTTATCTCGTATGACCTCATTCCTGACTTTTTTTTCTCTTCTGGTCACTCCTAAAGCATTTCTTAGACACCTCATTTCCATAGTTACTAATAAATTAATATTAAGTATTATTATCAGAGCTCTTTTGTGAGGAAAAAAGGTGCCGGTACTCACTACACATATAAACCATGTCTGCGGCTATGTGCGGAGTAAGCTGTGGGACAAAAGAAGAGGCAGACTCACCGCATTGTGTATAAAACTGGTGCCGGTACGCGTAACAAAGTGGCAGTTACAGTAGTTGTGATGAGAATTACACTTAAAAAGGTGCCAGTACTGCGCATTGTTACCTAACGCCAGAAAAAAATCCCCAGATTATCATCATCATTATTACGCAGTTAAACAAGACTAAACTCTTCCAGTCCCAATCAACGTACAGTGTGTGATCAGCTGCAATCAATGTATATCAAACAACGACCGGTGTGTAATTATCTATTTCACTTTTGGTTTGAGCATGCTAAAGAAATCTGGCTATATATGCTAACATATAGCATAATATGTGTTGTCTCTTTTAAGTTAATACAATGATGCTCTTTTCTTTGTTTCGCTTATCTCCTTGAGTATTTAAAACCAAATCTTCTGGAACTAAAAGACTTAAATTTCCCGAGATGCCTCCCTCCCTTCTCCTCCGTGTTCTCTATGGGGGCGCCCCAGATTAGACAGAATTATACACGTGTAAGAGAAAACGGCGATAGTTCACCTTGGGTTTTTTCTGGATGTGAATGTTATGTTTATAATGTCGGAGCAGGCCACAACGTTGCCCTGGGCGTAAGGCTGTTCTCTTTGATGTATGCCTGTTTTACCTTCCATTGAAGATGTCAAAATAAACGGGTGTTGCTTCTCGGTCATGCCTTGACTTCCGGCGATGAATCTGAGCCAGAATGTGGCTCCCGTGACATCGTGTTTGTCTGGTACTTTGTTTGCTTGCTGTTGTTTCAGTGAATTTAATTCCCGGGGGGGGGGGGGGGCGGGGGGGGGGGGGGGGGGGGGGGGGGAGGGGGGGGGGGGGGGGGGGGGGGGGGTGGGGGGGGGGGGGGGGGGGGGGGGGGGGGGGGGGGTACCCCCAGCGTCTTGACAAGCGTGTGGTAAAAGGCGGATAATTGAGGACTTGATAAAGTCAGATATGTAGATCTAAAAGCGCCAATATCTCAGGCTAGCTGTAAACCACTAAACAACGTGCCAGCCATGGGGCACAGTGTGTCCCAGACAAAGCGGTCAAGCTGCTTGCCTCACGGTCTGAAGGTTCGTGTCATGTATGCGTTGCCCAGTTCACGAGTGCCATTTATGACAAAGATCCACGGGGATTGTCGCTGGAGCTACGGCGTTCATGCTATGTGCTGTGCTTTCAGCAGGCGGCTAGACGCTGAGCTGTATGCGATAACTCGGTACAACTAAGTCGATCTTTTGATTTTTTTAATCTGGATCTGAGTAGATCACCAACAGTGAACAGTGTCATTGTACATGTTATGTGGGAACACAATCATTTGTTACAGAATTAACCTTCACGTTTCGTCTAGACGACTTTCATCGACATAGGAGAACAAAAAGGCCCGACTTCCGATTTTCTATGGAAAATGTGTGTGTGTGTGTGTGTGTGTGTGTCCAGCTTTGAGTAGGTGTCAGGTACAGTCCTGTAAGGCAAAGGTGGCCAGCATAGTGCTGACAATATCACCCACTGTGTGCCGATTGGTCTGTAAAATAAAGGTCTAGCCCTATATGCCCAATACCCCAGAAGGCGCGGGAAAAGGGTCCTTTACTATATATTTAATACTTGTTCTTGTTCACCTCTGGCAACGTGTTCATTCAATGAAGAAAAAGGTCAAAGCTTGCGACTTGATATGCTGCAGAAGAACTCTCAGAATAGCCTGGGCTAAGAAAAAGAAGAACCACAGACATCCTACATCAGGACTTTTCAACTAAGTTTACTCAAGAACCAAAATGTTGAAAGTGGATTTCTTCGCGGGCTAGAGGTCCGAACCCCGGCATAGAAAGATCTCGAGTCAGATACTAGGCATCTGTGGGCTGGATTCTGCCCGCAGGCCCCAGTTGAATAGACCTGTCCTACATGATCTGAACATCCAGAATAATTGGCTCATAAACAGCATCCTGCGCCGAAAGCTGAAGCATTTCGGCCTTATTAAACGTCATGATGTCCTGAAGAAAACGGTCATGGATGGTACGGTGTCCGGAAAACGAGGCAGTGACCCGACCTCAGCGAAGGTGAATACAAGACATTAAAGATGTGTTATATGAAAGCACATAGGGCTGGCAGTTGGCTTGAGACAGAGATTCCAAGACGTGCCGTGATGACAGCGACGTTCTGTAAAGGACTTATTGATGGATGATAATGATGCAACTTCAGTTAATCTTCATTTTGTTGAGCTTTTTAGTCAAATTTCTCCGGAATTTCTTGTATTAACTTCACTGCAGTCACCCCCTTTTTTTCACCATTTTTGGTATAGAACGGTTAGTTCGTTTTACTTGTAATTTTGGCCGACACACAGTGCTCGTACAATTAACAAATAGGCAAGAACTGATCAGTACTTATATAGAAAAAAAAATAGAAGGACAAGAGATTACACTAGACGATATAAAAATCGTAAAGCACTCAATTTGTTTGTTGTCTAGTATATCATCTTGTCTGTGCTACATCTTACTGTTGTGCCCATGTGTTCTTGTCTATTTATGTTTTATATACCTAACCATACGAGATCGAGTGAATAATGCAACTATCAGGCAAATTGTGGGAGCGACACCTTGTACTAGATTCATCGAGAAACAGCAGATCAAGTGGTTTGGCCATCTCGTTAGAATGCAGCAAGATCAAATACCATCACAAGCACTAAATCTCAGAAGATCAGCTACAAGATAGCAAGAGGACGGCCGCTGAAAATTTAGATCGACAACATTAAGGACACTCAACGCCTTCACGGCATGACAATAGCCAGTGGCAGCCAACTTGCACTGGATTGCAAATTATTCCTCCCCACGACGCTTAACGACAGAAGTGGTTTATGATGACGATGATCTGCGGCCTCCGGGGTTCCCCGGTCGTTTATCGTGTGCACAACACCAAAAAGAAAGTGAGAACATGCTTAT